ATGTAGTACCCGCACACAGATTACTCGCTTTCGGTTCTCTAGTACAATGTATTCGCGATACTCTGGGGCCATGTCAATCAATATCTGGACCATCATGCCAGTGATTTTCATGTAGAGGGCTTCCAGGTCAATGCAATTCAGAGTCGCCGGTGATCCAACTTAAAGTACTGCTGGAAGTCCCGATATCCATCTGAAGTAGCACTGACCCCGTTGGTCACAAAAAGCCTGCCCATTGTAGTATCACCAGTCATCCGACTTTGGGTAGTCGCTGGGTAAGGGCCCTGATGATGGCCTCAGCCAGACCTTCAGTCCTCATCTCTTGGTAGAAGGAGATGGGAGAGGTGTAGGACAAGTCTTCATTTGCATCTAACACAATGAGAATCTCACACCCCTCCGTGTTCCATCTTTTGATCAGAGCAATCAGGTCTAGTGTGAGCTTCTCATAAAAGCTGGTACTGGGACGCCGTAGCAGCCCTCCAATACTTTTCTGATGGGTGAAGGATAAAATGTTGACAAATGGGCTTAGGACTGCCACGGTCAAAACAAACGTCAAATAAAGTACTGGAGTTTGACATGACACGCTTGCTGTGTAAAGAGCAAAAACAACAAACCCAAAACTGTTTTCAAGACTGCAGAAAATAACACTGGATTCCTATTGCATTGGATAGAAAAATGGTTAGGCTTCCAAAAGAGATGGGTGAAAATTGGAGGAGGATTCACAACTGGTGATTGCAATGACGTTGAATTCCATTGCTGCTGCTGACAAATTTGTTTGTTTATGGAGCGTGCCTGCCAATTTTGAGTCGTGATGAGGGCTCACTCCTGGTACAAAACGAACGACGCACGTAAACCTGCCCTTGTAATTTTGTGCGCCATAATTTTTCACCGTACGTATAGTAAGGCATTCTACATGAAATTTTGCCAGACCAGATAATTATGTAAACAAATACCATGTTTCTACTGCTCACAGCCTTTCAGTAGCTGTGAACGTAAAAAAGGGTTTGAATATTTCCAAAGCAATCATCCCACACAAACATCCAACAATACAACCCCGCCAGCATGGAGATTACCAGTCGTTGGAGTGGAGGGCCGCTGCAGATGGCAAGTCAATTCTTGGTCTGTAATGTTGTGCATAACCCAGATCCAACTATTGTGATATGATCATTGTCTAACATGGTGTTGCCTTTTTTCTTTCATCAGGGCAAGAAGCAGTATGGCAAAAAATGCATAATCACCGTTGATCACATGTGAGGCCACAAGAAGAACAACTGCAAATGGTAAGTCAATCTCCTACTACAATGATGTGTACATTCTGCTTTCTAAGTAAGTGATTTCAATTTAATGATATTTGGAAGTAGTCTCCTGTTGATGTCTGACCCTTGTTTCTGCAAGTTCCATTTACTACCAGATGACCTGAAGCTTGGTGGTCAATCTCCTGGAAAAGAACACTGATGCAGCTGTTGGATACAGGAGTTGTGGTCAGGGATATTGAGACTACCCAACAAAGGATGGCACAAAAGTTTTGCAAGCAAGATTGGGGCAATACCAATCCTTTCATTACCTAGTGAAACAGATCGTGCCATCAATCAATTGCACAAATACCAAATTTGATGTGAAGCAGGAGGAGACAATCAGCAACATCTTCACCATGCCTGACTATGAGAGTCGTTGGAGGAAACAGCATGAGGATCCCTAATCAGCAAGACTCCAAGGTAAGGAACATGCTGCTATATGCAAGGAGTTCAAGGCCGAATTCACATCAAGTGATGATGGCTTGAAGCTGAAGTCATCTGGTTGGAGCCCACAGGGAATTGATAGCTACAACAAGAAGTTGATTCAATTGGTAAGTTAAGAAGGAGACCACACACAGGGGCAGCCCTAGAAGAGTACAAAGTGTGGAAGATGCGCGGTGGAACAGACAATTATGTGAAGGGCACAGTGCCTCCTACTGCAAACGAGAGACAGATACCTATTGCTGAAGGATCGCTGGCTGTCCTTCCTCAAGCATTGGAAAGCATGTTTGCAGAGGTCGAGCCTTGTCAATAGATTGTCATTGAATTGTCAAATAAAGTAAATGTGTTTGTGATATAATCAAAAGGATCTTTCCAATACATTCATAATCTGTGTGCCCTATAATCACCATTGACTGTTCTTCAGAAGGCAAGGAAACTCTGTTTTGTAGGTCATTGTAGTTGTCATAAATTGACAAGGATCTGGTCCTTTTAAGGCATTGGCCATTTGATGAGATGACATGGACAATGAGAAAGAGGAAGCCATTGGATGGCTCTCAATCAAATGGGTCCACTTCAAAAGGTCTGTTGGATGTCCTTAAAAGACAAGTCCGGTGGGTGGCTTTGCATCCCAAGGTTCTGCGACAAAATCAAATGGGAACTTCCAAAAATGAGAAGGTTCTTTTCCTCAAAAAGACAATTTCCTTGTCATAAAAAGGACAAGGGGTTCTCATCTATCACATAGGCTTCACACACGGTGTCCTTGTCCTTGTTACCCAATTAAACTGTCAATTAAGGGATTATCACTATAGCATTTAGAGGGAAGTACTGGACAATATAAGCCAAGTTCCACGACACCCAAAAGCACCAGGCAACTATTTCAGATGCAGTCATCCAACTTCGGGTGTTTGCTGGGTAAGGGCCCTTATGATGGCCTCAGTCAGACCTTCGTCCTCATCTCTTGGCAGAAGGAGATGGGAGAGGTGTAGGACAATTCTTCATTTGCATCTAACACAATGAGAATCTCACACCCTTCTGTGTTCCATCTTTTGATCAGAGCAATCAGATCTAGTGTGAACTTCTCATGTGGGTCCGTAGTCACTCCCCTGCCCAGCCAATAGTGCCGCTGATAGTTCCAGACACTGCCTGCATTGGTGCCTTCCTTGTTTGGACAATATACAGAGACCACCAAAAGATCTAAAGGACCAGCCGGGGGCCCATCAATCTGAGACTCCTGTTGTCAGATGTCCCTGCCCCGGATCTTGATCCATGAGAACCTGCCAAAACCCATGTTGTCTTTGCCGCCTGACTTTGCTTGACGCGTGACCTCATACGCCAAGGGAGTTGGAAACTCCTTGTGTTTGTGGCAAGAGACAGACAAGAAATGTCCCTGGGTAGTGAACTACTTTTGACCATTGAAGGGTAACTTCAGCCAGCAGTGCAATGCGCACTCTCTCATCCGTCCAGCACTTGAAGAGCCCTTTTTGTTTCTCATGTATCATGGGGAATGGAATACCATGGGCACTTTGAAATTGGACTCTGGAAATGTGAGGATCCTTCTGGCATGAGTCATCACCAAAGTAGTTACCAGGCTGGAGAGACTTCTAGTAAGCATCCAGCGAGGAGTGGGCCACCTGGCTGGATGTGTGTTGGTTGTGTAAATTTTGACCTTGGCCTTCTGTCAAACGCCGCAACCTTGCATGACGGGACTGGTGGTGGCTTGGACCCCCCACTGTCTGTCTATGATGTTGCCTTGACTCAAAGATTAATGCTTCCCTGTTACTGACGCTTGTGCTGCCATTTTGGCGTCCAGTTCAAGAATACGGGCATCCTTTACAGCCTTCTCTGCATCTTTGGTATGGGGCAGTTCCTCTGCCGCAATCTCCAATTTGGCAGAGGTCAGTGGCATCTGCTTTCATGGTTTTGAGTAATGCTGCCATGTTTGCCGCGCTTCCTACTATAGCTCCATCATCCATATCCTTGGCAGCTGGCATCAACAGGTCAATGGTAATGGTTCCCTTAACCGACCGGGGGTCAGATAACCCCCCCCCCCCCCCCAAATTAAACTTCAAGCAAAGATAAAAGACAAATTTACCAATGCAGCTTTGAATATATATTCTCTTAGTTATCTACTACCGTAGATCTTCCTTGCATATTGTTGGCAATAATGATTTTCATTTTGACCAAAATGACCAAAATTCAATGCCTTGCCAAAAATCTTGCACGCTTGGTCCATCGACCATTGCTTGTCAACAACAACCTCTGCACACTTCAAATTTGCACCAATGCAACCAACCCAAGAGGGAACCAAGCCATTTGCTCAAATGCAGTGTATGTGTGAAGATCGGGTGCACAATGAATTTTTCAAAATGCCAATACAAACCCTCCTTTGTTCAATGTACCTGACGACATGACAATGTCACCCTTTTCCAAGGACGCATGTTGGGATGTGACAAAATATGAGTTTTTACGTTCCAAAAAGAGACTATTCAAGTACAAAGTTTTTTTGACACGTACGGTCGGACTTTGATCGTGATGTCGGGATTTGACGCAAGTATGCCAGACGCAAGTCTGTAGGACAATCTACATCCACACTTCTCGCTTCCATCGCAGCCTTGACTTGTCTTGGAGTGAATCTATTGGGATATGACAAAATATGAGTTTTTACGTTCCAAAAAGAAACTATTCAAGTACAAAGTTTTTGACATGTACAATCGGACTTTGATCGTGATGTCAGGATTCGAATCAAGTATGCCGGACGCAAGTCTGTCAGACAATCTGACAATCTACATCCACAGAAAAAGGAAATGACCCTATACAAGTGAGATATCGGTGTTGTGTACGATGCAGAAGGGAATAATACAAGGTGTCCCAAAGTACTGTATCCAACACAGAATCGTCGTAGAGGTCGAATCAAGTTCTGTAAACAAGGGATTTTCCAAGGGAAAATCGTTGAACTTACTTTTGTGATTGAATCATCAATTCAAGCCAAACATTAATCAAATAGGAACAATTTCACTCAAAGTATACCTAGACACAGGAGAACTATTATCGTGAAAGTGTTGTACAGTCGATTACGAATTTAGATTGCAGAGAGTTTGTTCTGAGCGCTAAAGGCACTCACGATAGAGCACATTTTGCTTTATTCTAACATTCAATCACAAAAGGCAACAAAACAAATTTACGTCAAGAACAGCACTGCCTGGACATGTGAATCCTCAGAAAGTCAACAGCGATTCGAGTTCAACAGTTGTGAAACATCTATTTTCAATGAAAGATGAAAACGATGGAAAGGCAAGATTGTTGTACAAAGATGCCGAAGAAAGAGTGATTGACTACATGCAAGCTTCTGGAATGAAATGTTCCAAAGACATGGTGAAATCAATTCAAGATGAAAACTACATCAAATTGCTAAAGGAACACAAGATCGAGATGTCGGATACAACTCGTGCTGAACTCGAATCAAACGAGGAAAACCCTGTTGACGCAGACGACAGGATGGAGACGGAGGAGACCGAGGAGGACAAACCAACAATAGAACAGCGCAATGTGCCAGCTCCTGATCAGCATACTGCAGTCTTCGACAATTCCAGAACAAGCAACTGCACTCAACTCCTCTTTTGACCTCCTTGTTTCTGATCTTTCAAGGATGAACATTTCTGCAAACTCCTTTATTGGCTCACCACAAGCTATGGATCTCATAGTTTCTCCTCTCCTTGTGGCTTTGGTTCCCCACCAACAAGAACCAGGCCCAGCTACCCTCTTCCCAACTATCACCAAGATGGTTCCAAGAAATGGCCAAACGACATCTATAATTTTCCAAAACATGGCCACCACCACGGAAACGCTTTCATTTGCCAAGGTCTGATCGAACAAGACCATATCTAGTATCAAACCATCACTATGAACTGCTCATGGGCATTGGGACAGCACCGCTGCAGCCGCATCACGACTCTCAACCGTCCTTGCTGGACGCCTGGATGGCAGTCTCAGCCAGGGTGACCGAGTATGTTGGCTGGACCCCTGAAGAAATTGAGATCGATGGCGACAAAAGCCTCCTTGCTGCAGCCCTACTCGAAGACCGGCTGTGTGTGATCAGCGACGGTTCTTATAAGCTTGGTCTGGGCGCGGCAGCGGTTCAACTGCTTCCACGTAAGGGTGGCACGGAACGCATTATCGTCCGGTGCCAGACTCCGGGTCTCCCCGATGACCAGAGCGCGCACCGGAGTGAATCAATTGGCCTATTGGCCGGTATCATGGTTGTTGATTGGCTCCTGGACCAGTGGACAAACAAAAATCGCTTTGAGCTCTACCAAAAGCAAATACACTAGTCTCAGTTATGCATTGTGTGGAGCGATTCCCCTCATGAACCTACTCAAGGAAATGAAGAGGCGTGGAATCCCTGTCCTAGATCATCGCCCAAAAGTCCATTGCAGAGTCTTTGACAACAATATTGGGGCATTGGAAATGGC